ATAAGTATTAGGGTGAAAAGGACAAGGAGAAGCAGGAGTGCGGTGCAGCTGGAAGAGGTGAGAAGTGGATGAGGGGGGCACCAAAAAAACGAGAACAATCGTATTTTTGGTAATTAATTGTAAAAAGTTTTGCCATTTTGCCGTCTAATTAAGATTGATTTATTGATTACCGGTCGAGTTACCGGTCGTTACCTTGTAAAACCTTATTACAAAATGCACCAAAAACAATTTTATTTATTATTAAAGCGTTTTTTCAAAAATACACGCTAAATAGATCCTTCCAGGACCAAATAGCAGTAAATTTTCGGAAAACAACGATTATTAACTCAAAATGATGCCCCGCCAGAACCAAAAACTGTTTGACTGCGTTCTTTCAGTTCATTTGATTATATTACTGTGACTAATGTAGCAGGACCATTAAGGATGGGTCCAGGTAAAGCTGGAATTTCACCTTCCTTATCCTTGTAATAGCTTATGTGGGTATCCTAATTAATTTCTGCTGGAAATACTACGACAATAAAAATCTTCCAACACTCCGTTTGGTATGGAGTGCTGAGGGCAGATTTGGTAGGTTCTTCTACCGTAGGCCGCCGATCTGTGCTAAAAAAATTTGGCAGAACTGCTCAAATGAGCTGTATTTGAACCCCTAGGTACTCTTCCCGAAGGAATAGCAGTAGGTCAGATAAAGCTCGTATCCACCTTCCACTATATCCCTGTGGCAATAGTAATAGACAATATAATAGACAATTTAATCAGCAGAACTTTCTAAACGCATTTTTTACAAATATTCGATGCAGCTTATGAAACGGGTGTCGTTATTGGCATTTGCATAATGACGATGATAACATATTAACGGTTCCCAGCTGCGCACCCGTTGGCAATTAATATCGCGCGTCCGACAGATCGTCCAAGATATCAAACACGGCCGTTTTGTTCAATTAGTTCAAGGTATGAATCGCGGCCGCGAGTCTGTCACCTCACCTGGACCCCCTTAATACCTCACCTGCTCGCATTTTCTTTTAAAATTACTTTCGATATTAATTGATTTTTGTTCTCTTTTCTTTTTCATATCGATCCGTAATTGGCGACCGAACATCCGATGGACGATCGATACTGCAGTATGTAAGTACCAATTTACTAAAATATAGATTTCGACATCCGCAATTAGCCGCTAAACTTCTGTGCAAATTGACTTTTCAATACTTCTTTGTGTTAATAATGATGGAAACAAGCGGAAGTTCCTACGCCGTTTTAAGTGTTTGTCTTGTTTTCAGATTACTGGAACGACCTACACAATCCCTTACTCGCATTTTATCAGATTGTAACAGACGTTACTAACAGATTTTACTCTTGGCATGCTTTAAATTCTTGTTTAAATTTAGTACTCGTTCTCTTGACACTTAGACTTGAATACATAATTATATGTAGTATGCCAGACAATTGCCTCAATGGCTTCATTTGTAGGGTGAGATTCAATTGTTGGGGGAAGTTCTAGTAAATTAATTTTCGTCTATTTTAGGTTAATAAGAGAACGTGTTCCAATAAATCACATTTTTTGGCAGTCTTATTGAACGAAAAATGATTGTTGAACTTGAACCTTCTTATTGCGCTAACACTTCAAATGAGGGACAAAAAAAGTCAATTGGAATGTTTAGCAAAGTGATCGATCAATCTTCAGTTTAATGGTTTTCAGAACACTTTCTCGGCAAGACTTCAAAATCTGTTAAAACAGTACCTAAGCCAAGGGTCTTTAGTCCATTTGCATTTTTCATGCAACGAGTGCCCATGTGCGAGCCATAAAAATTGTAGATGGGGGTAGAACCTTGTTATCAAATTTTTATTTTGTGTCACAGTTACAGGTGTGGTACAGTTTTACGCCTGTAGTTAAATTGCCCCTTTTTTTTAGTAAGTTTTATGTTGCATCGGCTCACTTTCTGTTCTTGAATTAGCAGAGGTTCTATCATATTCTATTCATAAGGGAAGCCCCACCAGGCAGCACTTAGGCGCCCACTCTGCCTACCCTCTTTCTTTAGCAACTAGGTTCAGACCCCGTCCATCTCAATAAAGGATAGGACCCTGTTTAGACTAAGTGGCTTCACCTTTGCTGGTTCCAAATAACTGTCCCCGAGTAGCTGATGTCTGTCTTTGTTCAAAGTGTCACAGTGACAGACAACATGCTCCACAGTTTCATCTGCCCGATATAGGTGTACCCATGCCCGTTCCTCTTTCCTTTAGGGACCCGTCTGTAAACCGCACGAGCACCTCAGGTTTGAGGAACGGGCAATCTGAGTTCAACCATTGGTCCGCGTCCGAGAGAGTGACCTCATAACTCTTCGGTCTTAGTAAGACAACCGGGATCCCTTCTTGTAAGAAGCCAAGAGGGGATCGGATCTGAAGGTTTCCTTTTAGATCCGCCTGTGCCCAAGACTGCCTCAATCCTTCCACTTGTCCCAATCATTTAGCCGTATGGACGACTTCCAAGTATCTGCATTCCCTGCTAAGTATAAAGGCTCTAGTCCCAGAAGTGCTCCCATGACCAAAGTGGGCGTTGTTTTCATGACTACTTTCTGTAGGTCGCCCTGTACATGGCAGACCACCATACAACTGCATCGTACACTATTAATAAAAGCCAATATACCAGCCGAGGGTTCAACAATTGCGCGGAGTAACTTAATGCCTTGAAGATAAGATTTTTCGATAGAGTGCTTTTGTATTATGATATGGTTTAATATTCTCCACATTTTAAAAATATTTGGAATTATACAGGGTGCGCCCACAAAGTAGGGCGCCCAAATGGTACATTTTTTTAAATAGAACCCCCTGTATTTGAATGCATTTTTGAATTCTACGTGTAATTGTACGTCTTTTTATTATATGGTTAATATCCGAAAAGCTAGTAGTTTTAAAGATAATTCGATTTTTAAGAAAAATTGGGCATTTGCAAGCGTCAGTATATATTGACAAAATTATTACTTAAATTTTGATTCCAGATTTTATATCTTATCCTGGGTTAAGTAAAAGTCAAATAAATACATCTACTATGAAACATTAAAAATATAGCTTACAGGGTGTCTTTTTTGGTAGGTCCAAAGTTACAAAACTTCATATTAAAAAATCTCACTGTTCTTAAATGGAACACCCTGTATATTTTTCTGTCATCATTTAGCTCCTCCAAAAACCTTCAACTTTTGATAATAATGTGCTACTTATACCTATCTCTGATAGTTTTCGAAATATCTTGGTTTTCCTGGGTTTTATATTCAAATCTTAAATAAGTTATATGTAATTTACATAATAGTGAGGGGGCCATGCAAAAAAAGGCAATTAAAATATTCAAAATTATTTAGAAAAAAAGTAGTTAGTGAAAATACAATTTTCAAATTCTAGAAAATAGGAACCTAAGGGTATTAGGTTTGGTTATGTGAGACATGGGTTGCTGCCTGTAATTGTACTATTGAATATGTTTTTCTCTTCCTTTCCATTTATAATTTTTCTTCCTTTTTTTACAATTTTCAACCCTTTTCCCATTTTATCTTTGGTCTTTAACTTAACTGCTCTTCTTCTACTGGTTCTTTTTCGTTTGATTCTTTTTTGAAATTTTTATAATTTTTTTACGTCTTTATCTTCATGCTTCTTTCTCTGGGACAGATTTCAAATCCTCTTGAAATTTCAAGTTTGTCTCTTGTGCTTTGGCTCAATTTTCCTCTCTTGTTCCAGATACTGACTTCATCAGCTTCTCTACCCCCTCCTTGTAATTTAAATCGATCTTCTTTATTCTGTAGTTCTCGTTTTGATTTTTTTATTTGAATAGGGAATGGTTCCTTTTGGTAGATCTAACATTGTTTTTTCAAAATTACGTTTTTCTTTGTTATCTTTCTCATCCTTCCCGTCTCTGAAGCTTGAAATTAAATTCCCACGTCTGAAGAAAATCTTGTATTTTCTTTTTTACTCCTATTTCATTCGTAATTTCCGCTTCACTCCTCTGCCTCAGCTTCCGGTCCTACCGCGCCAATTGTACCTTTAATTGTTTTCTTATTCCAATGTACCACTATATTCTTCTCTCCCTTGGATTTCTTCTTCCACCTGGTTGTTGACTTCATGTCGACCTCGATCTTTTCTACCAATTGAATTTGATCCGCTCTAATTTCTAGTCTCACCTCTTTCATCCTCTTCATACTCCCGTCATCATTCTAGTCGCTGTAAATCTTGGTTTTCCTGACTGAATTGTTCGTACAGCTTTCCGCAAACCTGACCTTAATCCCATAAAATTTTTTAAAACTTGTTCAGCATGTGATTCTGGTTTTTAGGATGATAATTCGATCCCACGTTGGACGCCAATTTGTAATGGTTGCCCTTACAAATGTTATTTTTCGGAGTTCTCATAAGAATTCTTCAAAACTACGATCACCGAACCAAAACACATTTTACCAACTTCTAATTGTAGAAAAATTGAAATACGAGAGTTTTAGGAAGCAAATTGTAGTTCATCTTTGCATTTCTAGCGATTTTTCCAGGTACCTGGAGAATAATTAAAATTCTTGGACAATCTCGAATTTCTCGACTCAAAAAGAGAAATAGTTTGTCCTTTGGAACCTAGCGTTTTTAAAAATTCATTTTGTCCTAAAATAGGTATATTTCATTTTGTTCCGTGGGAAATTCACCACAAAACATTAGATTATGTGATGATGTTCTCAGGGAAAAGAAGTTTTTCGGTTTTTGGAAAATTCTATCTTTTACAATTGTGGATTAGTTTTTCATTTTGGCTTAAAAATATGCGAAAAATTTCAAAAACTGACGTACATTGCGAGCGAACGATATTTTTAGTGGTTGCAATGTATTGCAAATTTACGATGAAATTTAAAGGCATATAATTGTCAATAGTAAAAACAGAATTAAACTTAGCTAGTCGTAAATTTCGCTTGGAACGTCTCATTAATGGGACAGCGGCAGTTTAAATTATACTTTCTATACTAAGTAAACTAATACTAATTTTGTTTTAGACCGTACTTCACTGGGGCGCCAAACATGGAAATGAAGACATCATTAAACTTTTCGCGGGGAAGTACAAGGCGGACGTTAATTCCAGAACCGTAAGAATTTTTTTTCACTTAATCTTACCGCTTGACATTTTTCTGTTTTCGGTACTTCTCGGGGAATGGATCACAGAATGGGGTAAGTTGTCATTTTTTGGTTACTACGGTATGCAAGTCGCATAATTCCGGTAGCTGGTGCCGTGCCGTCATAAGGACCTAAGCAAGGATAGTCTGGTCATTGTGGCGGCGGCGCATGCCGGGCATTCCTTATACGGTTAGATATGACATCTCAGATTAACTTTAATATAGCAGATAACGGCTTATTTATGACGTTTACATTTGTAGACCTTTCGGTAACAGACTTATTAATGTTTATCGGTTTCGCTTTTCAAAATTTATGTGCCGAAAATCCGTCGAATAGAAAGGATGATGGGTAACGGTAATCCTTGACCTGTATATTAAGTGTGTTTTCCTTTTCATTCAGTTTACGAATGCACGTTTTACAATTTAATATTCATCAAGCTGGATCCAAACTATGACCAAAGTAAGTATTATAGGTGATGATTTTGGACGCCAGGTTCCTACTTTACTTAGCTCGAATAGCAGTAAACAAATTTTTAGCTACCAATAATTGCTTGATATTGGTTAATATCATTCGTACAGGTTTTTAAAATAAAGTGACTGTCATTTTTCATGATCTTCGAAAAGCAGGCTAATTTTCACACGAATTAAAAATTTACAATTTGATGAGTTCGATTATTTATTTTAGTCCATATATTTTTTACAAAAAAATTAGTTACCGGTTCAAACCGGGTTTAAACAACTGAATTTTTCCACGGATGAAATGACGGGGTTTGAAAGGGGTGAAAACTGGTATTTTGCAATTTGTGGCAAAACTATTAATTTTAGGCGAAAATATTCACTTATAATAATTGCACAAGAGGTTTGTATTTTATCGAGGAAATTTGGGTTGTTAAGGTAATGAAAATCTGTTGCCTAGCAATTAAACTAGAAAAACTAATAAAAATGCGACACCGAAGATGGTGGAGCCGTGGAGCAATTGCTAAAAGGAAACTGTGAGTTACACCAAGATCAATATTCGAAAGAACAATCTCACTATTATAATTCTAGGACCAGAAAAATTCTATACTTTATGCATATTTTTTCGAGAAAACTCAAAAAATTTCAAATCCAAACCTAATGCTCTCGTTACAAAGTAGCCGCTTTCGTAAGATCGAAGTTGGGTAAAAATAACACTAGCAATTGGTTTTGAGTTTTGATAATAAAAAAATCGAATAAGTAATAAGAGCCAAAATCGTGTGTTTGACTGTTAGCTGGAAAAAGGTTCAATTTGTGATATCCACATGAGATTTTTTCTTCTTTCTTTATGTACCAAATTTTAACCAGGAGACATTCTCAGACGTGATTACGTAACTCGTGAGTCGTGATGACGTAAATGTTGGAGCGGCTGCTCGGATTCTCGTGATGTAAACCGGCAATTAAATTAATAGAAGTTTTTCTCAAAATTTGTTCATGATCTCTATCAGCAGAAAGACACGAGAAAAAATCTCATGCTTGTTCTTAATAATTAGTTTGCAAGTTAATAATGTGATTGGAAAGGGGTTGTAGACTCGGCTGTCTCGTATACATCCCATTTCACCTTGCCGATTTGTTTCATAAATTAATATTGCATCAAGATACAGCATATTGGCGTTTGTTGTGTTAGAAATATACTTAAAACAAAATATTGGTGTAATATCAAATATAGAAAAACAACAGGGAATGCAAATATTTGATGGTTCAGGAAGAACAGATAAAAATTATTAATTAAATTTGAACATTAATCTGTGTTTGAAGTCAAAATTTCTTGTTTTAATTTGAGAAAAACTACCCAAGAAAATCACAGCGGGAAGCCACCAAAAAAGCTCCTGACGGCTTTGATAACGCTAAGTAAACCCGTTAAAACGACGAGGGTGACGGTGGCGGCTAGAACTGATTACTCCAAGCATTACTGCGCGTGATGAGCTTAAGCTGTAAAGGTACCAAGAGAAATGAATAGGCATAGGGGTGGCTAGAAGGCTCTTATAGCGCACCGAATCGCATGGTGCTGTCCTTTGCAACTTTTCTTGTCATCAGTCTGTCCCATCTACAGCAATCAGAACCTTTGAAGGGTAATTGTGCCCTTTTTAACACCCTCTCTTATCTTAGATGTTACATTTCACAAATCAAACTCAATCTTTCAGGGCTACACACCTTTACACATGGCCGTTCAATTTGGACATAGCAAAGTGTTCAATCTCCTAGTGGAAGTCTACCGTAAGTGCCCGCATCAATCCACCGAGCGTCAATATTCGCCATATTTCAGATGCCGATCCCGACGTGAGAGATTTCAGCGGACGAATGCCGGAACAATATAAGATATCTGAAACGCAAAACTCCAACAAAGACACTTACAGTGAGTACCGTAGGCCGGGTAAACCTGGTGAATACCGTATTCCGGGTAAACACACAAAGCATCAAAGTTTCCTTCGCAAAAATTTCAATCCTAGTCAACGTCGGGCCAAATCCACGCACGAAGTAGCCGTAGAGACAACAACTAATCACACTACCTCTCACGCTTGAAATGGTTCTTAGTGCATGATGGATTTTTTTGCATGTTACCTTTTAGTTACTTGAATTGTAGAAAGTGCATGAGTTTTGTTGTAATTTGCATGAATAAAGCGCTTCGGTTACTATCTATTTTATTTTAATTGCAGAAATCAAATCCAGGAAGAAGTTGGCAGGTAAAGACTCAATTTGCTGCTAGTTTTTGATTGTAAGTGTCATTTTAGATAAGGACTTGAGATTTCTGCGAATTGGCTCGCTAAATGTAAGGGTGAAGAGGACTACTGAGGCTTTTAGCAACTTTCTTGGTGTCGGTGGTGGCTCATCAATCAATCCCACCGATCTATCAGGTAAAGTGTATAAGAGCTGGGGATCTGCTGATAATTTATCACAGGTTTGTCTGATTCTGCTTGGTGCCATGTTATGCGTTTGTTTTAGGATAATCTCATGCCAGCCCCCAAAAATTACGCTGGAAAGCGGAAGATGAAGAAGTCTGAAAGCACCGGCGTGTGTAGTACGCCAGGTACGCCGAGTCAAGTACCACGTGGGCTACGGTCTAGGAATTCGTTACAAGATTCTGACTCTGATACGGCAGCTGGCTTTGACTCTCAATGGAAAAACTAAAATAATTGAAATTGTTGCAGCTTGTACTTAAAAATTGAGTATTTTTCATTACATTCCATTTTTGGTTTATTTATTCAAAGACAAGATAATTTCCAGGGGAAGCCTGCATATGATTAAAAATTCTCAAAGAGAGAATTGCATTCGAGATGGCTTTGACAAAATTTTATTTTCTGAATAAATCTTTGAAAACTCAGGTGTACTTTCTTTACAAAGTTCTGATTTTTATAGGTCACCAGCTTTAGCGCCCAATAAAAAACTAAAATAATCATTTTGCCACTGTGTATTTATTTTGATTATACCCTTTTTGCCTCATTTAATCAAAGGTAAGACAACGTTCATTCCGTAAGAGAATTAATTCTAGTGCCAGTACATTTAAATTTTGCCCCTTGTTTTCAGGGGAAACCTGTAGCTGATTGTACATTTCTGTCAATTACTTGCCATTGTAGCTGCTATTACATTAGAGATGGCATTGGTAGGGTCAATTTTAAATTTACGTACGACCCTCCAGACCTAATTTTATAATTTTCATCATATTGGTACTTTACCTACAATAACATGAAGGCAATTATTAATTTAGTTTAGACAATAAACTATAAGTTGCATCGATTGTGGTGTACAATTGTCATGCACAAATAAGCTCGACTTTTGAGCGAATTCGATCAGTACATTACCTGCCCTTACTTAAGCTATCCACCAGTAGATGCCACAACATGTATCATTTAGATTGAGCTTTACACTTTTTCTCTAGGATTTTCCTCTCCATTTAAGGAATTAAAAAGTTAAAGGAGCAACAAGTACCTATACTGCCTATTCAATTGTTACTTATTCTTGCAAGCAGTACTTACCGTTATTTAGCATCCCTTGATAGTGGTTTACATTCTTTCATAAGTCTAAAATTCCTTAGTTCGCGTATGTGTAATCTTTATTAATCTGTAGCTATGTGTTTTAAAACAATGGGGGAGAAAAGTATAAAAATGCAAGAACATATACATCCAATATGAAACCGCACAATTCCAACTATTTTTACATAATATTAATAATACCTACATTCATTTAGAGGTACCTACTCATTCACAATACATGACTATAAATAAGCACTCTACTGTCAACACAAAAAATGTGCTATAAGGTACTCAAATCCTCACCTCAAGTTTTCGCCAAGTTCCTGTTAAATCTTCGAGTTTACGTCTGCTTCTTTCCCTCAATTTTTTTCAGGCTGATCTCGAGTTCTCTCGAAGATTTATCTCAAGTCCCTCAAAAGCTCTCCCCATGTTACTTCTTAATTACTCTACAGTTCCTCTAAAACTCACTTCGTGTTTCTCATAAGTTTCGATCAAGGTTCCAACAAATTTTGCTAAAAACTTCTACCCTCTAACTCCAATGAAACTCTTCTGTTTAAGTTCCTAATCCTCATTAATTTCCTAATCCTCATTAAGTTCAAGTCAAGTTCATTCCTAGTATTTCAGACGTATCTACTTCTCCCCAGTGAAGATAATCCAGATTGCTATTGTTTTAAACTGTAATTGCATTTAATCAGTACCACTGTCATAATAAAATGTTTGAATTTAACGCGCTCTAATAAACTTTCACGAAGTCCATCGACTCCGGAATTAGGGTTGTTAATTTTGGTGGTGGTGCAATGGTTCAAAATAATCGTTTTCGACCAACGTGTTCTGTTCGTTGCGGCCCTTTGCGCCATCGTAGGTACCCGGCTAGTGCCCGAGTACCCGCGCTTTCCAACGAAATTGATTCAGTCAAGTAAATCCTGGGTTGGTGAACCTAAGTTGTTTAAATATATGTCTTTTAAATCATGTCAGAGTCATCTGCTGGGCTCAGTGCAATTCCAATCTCAAAAATTACCAATGTCATTAAAGGCCGAAAAAACTGCCTCAACAAGAAGTTTTGTTACTGTTATGGTTCGTTGCTCTGATTTTTGCTCCTCGCTAAAGTAAAAATTTATTCATGTTTTATTTGCAATAGGGGTACATAAGGTAACTCCGCTGCACTAAGGGCCGCATTATTTGTTGAAAAGGACATTTTTCATAAAGGTCTAGCTATATTTAACAGGACTGATTTTTTTTACTCGTTTGGTTGTAGATTGAACATTTGAAGTGGAGAGGCAACCATTGACAAAGAGACAGTTCTCTGTGCCTTTGTATGTTGGTAATTCCCACTTATATCCAAATAATAATTCCTATTTCGGGAAGTAAAATTTTGCTCTCACACGGAACAAAACTTTCCCATTTCTTCTTTCTTGGACCTTGTATCGTCTATGACTCTGAAATTCGCAACTATTTCTTAAGAGGCGATTGCGGGGGTATTGTAAATTTATGGAGTGCTCCCTACTTAGATGCCACAGACCGCTTCCTTCACAAAAAGATTCTGAACACTACGAGATTTGGTGGTTTTACGATCTGAAAATTCTTGATCGAACCACAAAAGTGGTGATTAGGGTCAAACTGACTTTATGAAATTTTTGAAATAAACTGAACCTTCCGCAGTATTCTAAATTGCAATTTTTCCAATTACAATTTTACAAAAAAAATAGCATAGGTACATTGCATTTTTATTCTTCCGCACTATTTTATTTTTGTTCAGATATCAAATAGTAATAGTCTTTTCACTCACACGTCCTTGTAAATGTGGAATTTTGATGCTGGGTATTGGGAAATGGGGTATCAAACGACGTAGATTTTTATGTATAGATTTCGGAATCCGACGTGAAACGAATATGATACCATTGAATTTATAAAAATTCAATGATGATACTATATTCTTTCGATAGATCATGAAAAAATATGTTGGTATGCAAATAACCGATTTTCGTAAAACAGCCTGTATAATTTGCAAATATTTGCTGTGCCTTCTGTTCCTGCTAATGTTCACATCTTCCATTTTTCTAATAAGATGCCACTTTTCATTATCGACGCCATGTATTTATGAGTTCGTCGCTTAGATTCGTGCAGTTTTTTCCCACGGATTTCATGTTTCAGATACCCTCCCCCTATCCTCGCAAATCCCATCATTTTGGTCTCCCTCTTCTTCCTTATTAGGTCGATCTCGACGTCGTGTGTCCTGCTCTATCTTTAATTGTATGTTCTGCTGCTACTATAATTGCTCCATTTTTGCATGTTTTCTTTTAAAATGTCCTATCCATAAATCTTTGAATTTTTTAAAATCTTTTCAATCTTCTTGAATCAAGATTGAATTTTTTTATTGTTAAGACAAGGTGTTCTCTTTAAAAAATGAGGTTACGTCCGATAACTTTTTTACCAAACCTCGTATAGCTATTTTGTTACTGTTCTTATTTCTTTATTTATTACTAATACCAATTCCTATTCTAACCTATTCAAACAATGCTGCGATTAAAAAGTGGAACAGATTTGGAAGCATACCCTAAATTACGCGCGTTTGTGAAAGCTTCAACCAAAGGATAGGTACAAGCCAAAAAAATCTTCTGCATTTACAGAAAGTACAATTCTACTCTTCTGCAATTTCCAAACAGACCAAAAATGGCAATGGTCTACAATCATATTAGTTTAATGACACACCTTTGAAACATTGAAATCGTACCTTCGGTTACGTGACGCTAGCAGGTATCTTGAAATTAATAAAAATGCTAGAGTGCACCTTAATTAAGCGTTTTCAACACAAATTTGCCGAAGAATCCCTAAATTTTACACAATCTTAATTAAAAGTTCACTTTCGTTTCAATTTTGATGATTACGCTTCCATTTTTTTGTTTTTCTGGAAAAAGTGGAATTGTTTGGAGCAACTAGTAGGTATACTTTGCCATTTTGTGCATTTCCTAGTTTTGTTAAGGCGAAGATAAAAGTAGGTACAATTTAACTGGTTTTCCATTGCGTCTAGTCAACTACAAAATAGCGTTTGTAAATATGATCGTTTTTGCTATAACACTCACTTCGTGTTAAAACAATCACTTCTCCATAATCGTTTACATTAAAAACCAATGTTTTAATATACCTACTATTATAAAACTGAGATGAATTGAGCGAAGAAAACCATAAAAGGACCAATTGGGAAAATAGTCACCATTTTAAATATTGGTGCGATGCGTGGTTTCCTGGCGTCTGAAATTGCATGTTCTAAATGCAGGTATACCTACTACATTTTTTATTAAACAAAACGATACAGACATTAAGTTGAAGTGTACAGACCGACACTGAAGCAATTCATAATTGGTTCAAGAGGTTGTAGTCTGCACGTGCTACAGAAAATTGCAAACAAGAGCTCGCACCTTGCGTATATATACCCATAAAAATGTCATTCTCGTAAACGCCACGTTTTTTAAACATATCTAAAAGTAAAAGATGATTTAAGAGGTTCTAGAATTCGTGCTTGCAGTCGTAAAAAATTTTTCTTTCGTCGGTTTAATCAAAATGCGGATGTCTGTAACCCTCTTGTAACTCTCTCTGTAACTGACTTGTTCATTTCGAAAAACCTATGGTTAAAATCGACGTAATCTCTGGTCCCAAATAATTTAATGCATTCTTGTACGTTTTTATTTATTTATTGTTTTTATTTTATTTACTTTAAGATAGAAGAAACTATGATAATAAATTTAGGTAAATATTGAAGGGTTTATATTGAAAAGAACGAAGTTAGCCCCTTTTCTCACCAAACTTAAGACCCTTGTGACCCACATCAGAGCTATTAAAATCCTTGAGGTATCATTGCATTATTCGTTTTGAAAATGCTGCCTAATCGATAACATTTTGAGGACCCCATCTCTTTGCTTTCTGCATGTGCACCGGAGCACACTTCCGTCGACACCTTTTAGTTAAACGATAGCAAAAAAAGCTCTAGTCCAGATTTCAACGCCAAATTTAAAATTACGAGACCACAACTGCCAATGATAGAAGATCATCTTTTCTAAATTTTTAGTGCACACAATAAAAAGTGCACTTTTGCGCTCCTTATGTGCCTATCTATCTGTCTGTCTGTATGAGTCACAAAGGCTCCGGAACTGCACCACTTACGGACTTGGTATTGGTGTCATTCGATCAGAAATTAAAAATTATTTCATGTTTGTATTCTAGCTAAGAAGGCATCAAATGTCCATAAGGGCTATTAAAATCGAAAAATCAAATTTGAAAGTGCACTATTCGCCTCTTGCTCAAAAGCGGCTTAACGAATTTATTTAAACTTTCTTAAACATGTGGCGCCGAAATCGTATTATTCACTTCGGAATGACGTCCCCTGTATAATACGTTTTGAAATCTACATTTACTAATCAACTGATGAGTAATCGACTTACGTCGCCGAAAGGCCAGTTTCCGATTATTACGCGTAAAATTGAAGTTATTGTTATCAGTTTGGCCGCGATCGCGTCTCGTTTCGGATGTGTCGATGGGAAAACATTTTAATCTGAACAGTTTCCATAGTGAGTTAAATAGTTGTGCTTACGACTATTGATCTGAGACCGACCATATCCAACCAACAACAGGTAACTTTTTGAAAATTTTGAGAGAAACGCCAAAAGACTTAGTAAGGGCTTCTTTGTCTTAATCTTACTCGATTTGTCATCGGAAATAAAACCAAATTCCAAATTAATAGCCCTAGCAAGTCTTCGACGACTTGCCCTATTCGGTACATAGTTTCAAATAGTCGAATTATTTTTATTGAACTGAAAAAGATGAAATAAGCAGCTCCAGCAAAACTGATAATATGGAAACCGTTCAATGAATCTTTAGGGAATTCGAAAAGTGTATTTTTAAAAGATTGTCTGCAGAATAGTATTCAGAGAACCTTCAGGAGAGTACACAATCTTTCGGAATCTTCATGGAACATTCACGGCATATTTAGAAATTTTGAAAAATGTGAAATGTGAAAAATTAGGGACTCATCTTGAGGTTCATTATCAGAATCACTCAGAAATCACCCAGAAAATGACTTTGAGTGTCATTTCCTTGACTTTTCAAGAACTGCAAACCAAACATCCAGCTCCTTCTCGAACGCTCCGTGTTTCATTCCGTTCCAGACGGTACCTTTGCATCGGTAGCTACGCTGCAAATAATTTGTTGACAATTTCCTTTGTTTTTACTAAACGGGAAATTTCGACCAGAAAACTGTATCATAAAAAATTACTAAAATGCCGTCGACTATCCCTTATGATTCTCTGCTAAACTTTATCTCCTTTAACTCCCCTTGCTTACGTGAAAGATCTCCTTTCCTTTGCTCTGAAAAGTTTCTACAAGTGGGTTTTTCTTTTTTACTGTACAGCTAAATAATAACAGCAAAAGGCCATATAAATGTATACCTACTGACGAAAATTAGAAAATGTTAAGTGCAGTTTAAGAGTGCTTCTCCCTTTTTAAATACATTTTTCATTTGCTAAAGATCTACCTGTCACAGTTTGAGATAATTAAAATTTTACATCTCATTTCTTACCTCTAAATAACTTAATCTGAATTTGAATTGTGGCTAACTTGAATAAGTACGTTTACACTATATATAAACAAACCTCAATTCATGGTTACTTTGGCAAATTATGCAATAAATAACCCTTGAACTTGGTTTCATTCACAGTGAAATTTATGGCATATCTTTGATTCCAATATAAACTTAAATTTGAACTGACACCAAATTCAGGGGATGCTTTGGATTATAAGACACCTTGAAAATACAAAATTTTTCACTTTTTTCGACTCCTTTAAGATCTCTCGCTTAAAATGTTACTAGTAAGAGTACAACGGATCAATATTTTCCTTTGACAAAATCTTAGAGTAAATTTGACAAAATGCATAAATTCGTCTAATCTTTATTTACAATTTTTCTTCGACGTGGATGGTCTTGAACTCTTACTGCTAACATTTTTTACTCGTGAATTGGGGTAGATATCAGATGATTTCTAAAGGGCTGCATACTTAAACCTCTCGACGACTACTTTTTTGGCTGGATTTTGAAGATTGATTGGCTTGCTCTCGATGTTCATTTATTTGCTGATTAATGAAATTTGGTCCAAAAACTGTGTTTTGCATACACATTACGATTTGATTGAACTTTGAGGTAGGCTTTTACTCCAAACTGCCTTGTGCGTTAGCGGCACTAATAATGAACTTTATTAGTATTTGATTTTACAAACAGTTTCCTTTATTGTAATTCCGTGTGTGGCATGAACTAATTACACCTCCCTTTTTTAGTTGAGATCACTGCACAAATACCCTTAAAGTTTTCCAATGAATTTGCTTACGAGCACGTTTGTTTTAGCGAACAAGGTTTTTGGATTTTTAGTGCACAAAATAAAAAATGCACTTTTGCGCACCTTATGTGCGTGTCTATCTGTCTTGTCTGTATGAGTCACAAAAGCTCCGGAACTACTTGGTATTGATGTCATTCGATCAGAAATTAAAAATTGTTTCATGTTTGTATTCTAGCTAAGAAGGCATCAAATGTCCATCAGGGCTATTCAAATCGAAAAATCAAATTTGAAAGTGCACTATTCGCCTCTTGCTCAAAAGCGACTTAACAAATTTATTTAAACTTTCTTGAACATGTGACTCCGAAATCCTATTATTCGGAATTACGTCCTCTGTATAATACGTTTAGAAATATACATTGACTAATCAACTAATGAATCATCGACTTACGTCGCCGAAAGACCAGTTTCGGATTATACCGCGTAAAATTGAAGTTATTGTTATCAGTTTGGCCGCGATCGCGTCTCGTTTCGGATGTGCCGATGTGAAAAAATTTTAATCCGAACAGTTTCCAGAGTGAATTAAAAGATGTTGTGCTTACGGTTATTGATTTGAGACCATATCCAACCAAAAACAGGTAACTTTTTGAAAATTTTGAGAGAAACACCAAAAGACTTAGGAAGGGCTTCTTTGTCTTAATCTTACCCGATTTGTTATCGAAATTAAAAATAAATTCCAAATAGCCCTAGTAGTCTTCAACGACTTGCCCTATTCGGTACATAGTTTCAAATAGTTTAATTATTAAGTGTAAGTTCAATGAAGCCTTAGGGAATCCGTACAGTGTATTTTTAAAAGATTATCTGCAGAATAATTTGAATAGTATCCAGAGACCCTTCAACAGGGTAGACAATCTTTCGCTAATCTTCAATTAATGAATTTTCATGGAACATTCACGTCACATTGAAAAAAATTTGAGAAATCTGCTTAAATATAGAGACATAAACCATATTAGAGAATCATCTGGAAATAACCCTGAAGGGGCAAAATAGTTATCAACTAAGACGCTAAACAGTTACGAATGTTGTCCCTTATGAGGGTCGATCCTCGATGTTAAATCTTCTTCATAACCCGGTGACCTATTTCACAGCAAAATAGTCTCTCGTTGTCAGCAAATGGCAAGACAAGCTAAGGGCGTCGGCACCTGGTGAATTTAACCCAAGGGTACAAAACAGGTACATCGAACAAGAACCGTACGTAACATAAAACGTGTCTGGAACTTGAACCCTAAATGAAATCAAAGGTAACCTATCTTCTTTGATTACATACAATTTACCTACCTCTTATACGAGTATAAGAGGGCTAATCGTAAATGAAGTAGCAATTGTCGATGGAAATTACAGTACAGACCTAAAGGAGGTACACTCTAAATAAATGAAAGGCAACATGGCGGTACTTACGATAAGCGGGTAAAAACGTCCAACTATTACTTCGGAATTCCCAAATTAAGAATTCAATTGCCAAAGATCAATATATTCGAAAGATATAATGCATGGCAATTAGAATTCTTTCATTGATTTTGTTTGAAGGGTTTACAAGCAACCCTCCGAATGCGCATACAAATGTCACCCTTCACAATTTTGAAGTTACGAAATTGCTAAAAAAACTCGGTATTACTTTTTACTTTGTATCTGTTTGGAGGAGTATTATAACTTTTGTAGTTCATAAATAATTTTGTTTCTTTGTTTGATTTTGTTTAAAGGGCGTAGAAGACACGCTTTAATTGCACATATAAAACTCACCCCTCGCGAATTACGAATCTTTTGTCTTGAGAGAAGCGTAGGTCTCTGTTGTAGTTCATTAAATATTTTGTTATTTTAAAGGATGTACAGGTAATCCTCCGTTTACGCATATACAAAAAAAATGGAGCCCCTTACGCGAAATTATGGGTATATTACAAGGTGTTTCGCTATTTTTGCCTTCCTTTCTACTTTGAAGTTGTAGATCTTATTTAGACTTACTATAAATAAGAACGTTGAGTAAGCGCACTAACTTTAACTACCTACATGCTACATCTACATACCTTTACAGTGACATGCATTTGTTGAAAATAGTATTGCAACAACCGCCCTTCGCTAAAACGCACATTAAGTGTGCACTTAAGAAAATATTAATGTCATAAAATAATCTCCCGCATAACAAACCTAAATCCCACCGTACACGTTTAGTCTCCTACTAAGTACTCAACAAGTGTGGCCCTGTCACTGCTTTTTTTACTACCGTTTATTACAGTCATTTACTACATTAATAAAGGTTTAATGCTTCGCACATTAACGTTACCCTCAAACAAACAAAGACAAATCCGAGAGTAAAATACGATTGAAACGGATGTAAGCCAAAATTTATTCTATATACTAAAGCATTTCCGTTTTGCTGTGATACAAACACCTTAATGCGGTGGTGCTGTCATATATTCCATTTTTATCATATGCTTAACATGTGTGTTAGGCCACTTGCCACTGTAGAGGTAGCTTAAAATTATCAATCCGCTACAGCTGCTGTATTAAACCTAAAAAAATGTCGTACCGCATTTGTCACGGTGGTTTCAAGTGTGACCGCAGAAAGGTTTTGCAATAATTGGAGCGGGCACATTTATATACCGAGCAAGGGATATTCACCCCCTTGCAGAATGCAGGAACCGAAATCATGCCAGGTCAGTGACTTTAAAGGGTTCAGCACAATACACAAACACCTACAGTCGAATTGCCTGTTCAACACAGTTGCAGATTTCATTTTCGGGGTCCTGATAGGGAAAACTTGTTAATCCGTAGAAATATTGGGAAACGGATTTCGCACTGTGGATCTTGTGGGTTTCCAAGGAACGTTGATTTTTTGATATTTTAAAAAATAAGCTTCTTAGAAATGCTCTGGTCTTTTAAGTCAAAAAAACGCAAAGTAGTAATTTTATACCCCTGGGAGTTGTAGGTATTGTAAATACTCAATACAGTAAAAAATAACGGTATTTGTGTCAATATAAAATAGACAACCATTTTCAGAGATCAATAATAAAAAAAATAAATAAAATAAAGGGGCGTCTTTACCTAACTACAAAGGAAATCGGACAAAGCTTCACAAAAATTGATTTCTGTACGTAACTACCTTTCACAGCTACACTAATACATTTAGTCCGACGTTACATTCCATAAAAGATAATTTGGTTGCAGTTCAAAAAACATTTTTCGGGACATCATCTTAGTCAAATTTGCAAGTATTATGTTGCAACAAAAATAAGTAGCATGGTGCTAAATCT